TTAGCTCAGTTCAGGATCCAAAGGACCGGGTTAAAGGGCGGGTACGACGAGCAGATGAGGACCACCATCTCATGCCGCACGATCGGCCCCTCACGGACTATTACGGCCTAGCTCAGCTCAGGATCCAAAAGGACCGGGCTAAAGGGCAGGTACGACGAGCAGATGAGGACCACTATCTTATGCCGCACGATCGGACCCTCATATTCATAGGGGGAGAAGAGTTACCCTTATATTCAGAGAGCGAGAAAACAACATTGAAGTCACCCCCTATAACCTAAGCTGCTTTCTCCCTTTGGGCTATAGATGTTAGGCCTGCCCAGAGTCTGGACCGATCACCCCTTGTATGAAGCCCATACAACGGGGAAAAGATGAAATTAAAATCGATCTTAGATTCCTCACTTTAGCAACCAAAAACTGCTCTTCTTCCGCTATGTAAGCAACATCAAATTTGTGGCTATTCCGCATCAACCAAATCTTATTAGACGACGCCATGTAAATATTAGAGAAGCCCAAACTATGCTTAAAAGATTCACCCTTATCCTGTCCAACAATAGGTTCATTAATTTAAATAAGATCAATATTATTGTGCGTGATGATGTCGCGTAGCCTCGGGCACGACGAGGCTAGCCCTCTCAGATTCCATGAGAGGATCTTCATAAAGACGATTCGGGGGGGGGGGGGGGGGGGGGGGGGTCATTTGAAACCCTCTTAGCAGCCAACCGGGTGGTGACCGCATAAGGAGGATTAGCCTCTTTGACCTTCCTGTGTGACACAACATCAAGAGCTACTGCCTTATTTTGTAATATTAGATTAGCCTTTCGTTGTAGCTCTCCACAGACCTCCTTCCATTATTCTTTAGTGTTTCTCTCAATATCAACTTTGTCCCCTTCCGAAACATACCCATCTTGCTCAACTAGAATCTTTCCCTCCTTCCCCCGGGATTCACCTTCCTCAAACGAAATCATTTTGGTAACGTCCATGGCCATTATAGGTGTAGCCACTTCTGTTACATATGATGTTTTCGGTTGTACCTCCTCTCCCTTATCCACTATATCAACCACTTCGACTACCTCCTTATTTCCAGTTATGACTGGCTCCACCTGCCTTGTATCCTTCTCATTTTGAGTCGGACCATCTTCCTTTGATTTCTCTTGTCCCGATTCTCCCGTTTTTTGGATTGCCCTTTCTTCACCCCGCCTAGATGTTTCTGCTTTGTCTTTCGGGATTTCTACCTTATTTTTACCCTTGTTCTTCTTGGTGACTTGAATTCACTGATCTTGAGGTTGCTTAGCAGCCTTTTGAATATTAGGCTGCACCACCTGCTGCTTCACATTATTCCCCTCCTTCCTTTTATTCAAACCACACTCATCCTTGTGATGACCAATTTGGTTACACTTCCCACAATATGAAGGTAACTCCTCATATGTCACAGTTTGGACTATCTCCTTGGTCCCATTCATGATAAGAATTTTCGAAGGGATTTCTTGTAGAAGATCAAGTTCCACGCATACCTTAGCAGTAGACGGTCTTGATAAATTAGATGTCGTTGCATCTACCTTCAATGGCTTCCCCACCAATCCCGCAATTGAAAATAATGCTCTCTTGTCATGCAAGTGCAAAGGGAGACCTTCGAACATGATCTAGACTGGAACAATGGGTGATTCCACATCTGGCCGAAAATCTGGCGTCCATCCCGTTACCCGCATTTTGAAACCTCTTATGATTCAAGTTTGTCTCATCCAACATCGCTGGAAATCTTCCTCGTTCAAAAATTTGACATGCACATGCCGCTGATCAAGGAGACCGAGAGACAGATTCGCTTTGAATCCAATCTTGTCAAACTCCTGTCTGAGCGTGAGCATATGTGGTCTTCCCCGAACGAAAGAATCGACTAGGGCAAACTTGTGTTGCTCCGCTAATATTGAAACCTCCTCTTCCGAAAACTGCACCACAGGCATGCCTTTATGTCGGAAAGGCGCCTTCAAAGGAATTTCCTTGTTTGCATTACTGTAACTATAAATGTGCATTTTCGTGAATGATAAAGTGCATCGTTTTGGAGCGTTATCATTTCTCACGCTAAGAAGTGTTCTCACCGGAACCGCACTATATATATATATATATATATATATATATATATATATATATAGGATCAAGTGAGAATACCATCTAGGGAGAGAAATGAGAATGAACCACAACCTTTGGATTGACTTTAATTTTTATTTTTCGTTTTTCTTTCTAAAGGGGTAAATTGGATATTTTCATTTCTCTTTCATTGCATTAATTACTTAGTAATCCGTTCAAGTAGCTAATTAGCAGTTACAATAATTTTCTTTACCTTTTCAGATATGCATGCCTTACTCTTTTTCATATCTACGTATTAGGTGTTGCATATTTTAATATAAAGGGAAAACTATCAAATATGCCCCCGTACTATAGTGAAAATGGCGAATAAACCCTCGTACTCTAAAAACACCCAATTGAACTCCTGAACTCTTAGAAATCGATCAATTTATCATTTTATCAGGTAAGCTTCAGGTTCCCGGTTAAAAGTCCACGCGGCAGACCACGGGGCAGCCCACATGGATTTCTTTTCCTTTTTCCTTTTATTCTTTTTCTTTCTTTTCTCTCTTTCCTTGCTTCTCCGTTCGCACACACCAGTTTGGTCAACGGGGGTTTTCAATTTTTGCCCGCACGGCCAACGACTCTGGCCGCCAACTCTGGGGACTGCTATGACCATCTCGCAGGGTTGCGGCCGCCATCTCTCGAGTCGGAGTTCGTGGCCGGCCATCGCCGGATTCCAGGAGTGAAAGGCGCCGGCTAAGTGCCTAACTGGAGTAAAGGGCGGCGGCTGACGACAGTGAAGGGCGGCGTCTAACTAAGTGAAGGGGCAGCGGCTGAGTGCAACGATGTCCGGTGGCTAATTGCAGTAGACCGGTGAAATCCGTCGGCTAAGGGATTCCGCCGGTGACGGCGCGCGGGTAGGCTAATTGGAGTGGTGCAGGGTTGGTGGTCATTGGTTGGGCAGTGGAGCGGGGCAGTGAGTTTAGATGCCAGTGGCACAAAGAAGGTGGCCGGCAATGCTGCTGCCTGCTGGGAAGAGGTTTGCAGAGGGCCTGCGCAGAAGAGAAGAAAGAAAGAGGAAAAGAGAGAGAGAAAAAGAAAGGAGAAAAAAAAAGAGAAAAGAAAAAGAAATCCACGTAGGCTGTCATGTGGGCTAGTTAACCGGGAACTTTAAGTTTACTTGCTAAAATGCTAAAATGATCGATTTTTAAGAGTTCAGGGGTTCAATTGGGTGTTTGTAGAGTACGAGGGCCTAATCGCCATTTTCACTAAAGTACGGGGGCATATTTGATAGTTTTCCCTAATATAAATAAAATCAAATTTTCAACATTTTGCATACTTTTTTTTCTTTTTCTTTCTTTATTCAGGCTATAGAATTTAACCAATCTAACTATATATAATATATGCACTTTGCTATCTTACTTTTGCATATAACATGAATATAATGAATGTGTAAATGATACTTTGATTATTCTAATTTTGTATTTTTAATATACAATATAATATTTGCATTACATATTTTATAGGTGCTAATTAAGTGGTGCACTTTTACATAATTTTGTAGTACACTTCTGCTAATTAACAGGTGCACTTTTTACACAACTTTATAAAAGTGCATTTCTGCAAATTAATAGGTGCATTTTACATAATGTTGTCTCTGTGTACTATTCTATTCTACTTCAACAACATCACTTTTAGTAACTAAGGAGTGCACTTTTGCATAAACTTATCACTTATCATGATAGTATATTTATTATAATGGGTGCACTTCTACTAACTAATAAGTGCACTATAACATAGTTTTATCCTAATAAAGATAATATTCTGAATGAAAAATTGCATTTCTACTAACTAATGATTGCACTTTTGCAAAAATTTGACGTTATGATAATGTTCCACTACAAAAGTTAGAAACTTTTCCTAAAATATTACTCTTATAAATTTGATAAAAATATGACTATGTTTACTATGATCATAGTCACTAATTGGTCATATGTACAAGAAGTTACACTTTTGTCCATCATTTTAATTTAATTATATACATGTCATTGTATCAAAATGTAAGATATAATTTCCAGATATTGATTATTGAAACTTTGCTATATTCGATGCACACAAAAAATCACTAATTTAATTAATTAAACTCATAGATTAAATATAATGCACTAATACTATAAAGTAGGTGCACTTCGTGAGCTAATGTGAATGCTATGCGCACTAGTTCTTCAAATGCGAGGATGACCGAGAATTGTAGAGCTTTATTATGGAGTAATTAGTAATGGAGAAAATTTTGGCTTATACCATATTTAGTATACATTCACGTACACTAATAAGCCAAATGCTTCCACATGAATATACGAGAACACCCCTCCTTGATATGATCACCCAGTGTGCAATTATTAACATTAAATACTTTCCATGTAAGTAGCAATATGGAACGTACACTTTATATGGTTTCCAGCCGTTGGATTACTATTATCAATGACTACAATTTATTCTCATTTCTCTCCTAGAAGCTCTTTCTCACGGGAACCCTCCCCAATATACATATATACAGGGTCGGGTCCTAATGAGAAGTCATCTTAACGTGAGATGTGAGAAGTTACACATTTACCTATTCCTGATGCACTTTTTTGCTAATCTAATGCACTTTTTGCGATGACAGAAAAGTTCCGATTAATTACGGAAATGCCACCGCGTCTAGCATCACTTTTTAAATATTTTTTGCACTTTCCCGTGCACTTTTTTGCTAATCTAATGCACAGATCTTAAAATGAACGCACCAGATGCATTCTCATTTCTTACGATAAGCACTCTTCTCATTTGATCCTTATTCTATATATATATATAGGTTTTGGTTCAAATAAGAACATGATCTTATGAGAAACGCACAAACAATAAATGGCAAACAAGAAAAGATATCAAGGAAGTAAGTCATGTCTTATTCAACAACAATAAGAGTCTATCACAACACACTCCACTACAAGCCCGCTAGGCCGATCATCTATCTGAGCTAGGAAGAGGGGAGATAATTGTTATTGTTGGAGAGTATAAGTTATCAACTCTTTACAATGAAACAAATGTTACTATTTATACTATCAAGGGGTAGGTGCTGTTGATGATGTGGAGGATTGTGAGTGGCTAGCTTCCCAATCACCAAATCTACTGCATTAAACGCGTTTCCCGCCAATGAATATAGACGAACGTTCTCCGGTCCCTGAGTTCTGAGGCCAAGTAAGTACAAGGATGGGGACTCGCTCGGCCTGTGCCGATCGCTCCGCTTGAGGCCCTTGAATCATCATTAGGTTACACTGGGCCAAGGACAACATCAAAGGTTGTGGAGTTTGACAAATTTATCAATAGTGCATCTATCCCGCTCTGAAACAAACAAAACATAAATGAACTACATACACATAACTCAATCCAAATTATTTAATATCGATAAATATTTTTTAGGTATTTCATGATGTTTTTAATTGAACTAAAATTTTCTTGTTTGATCTGAACACTGAAACTTTACATTTGATCTAATATGGTATGGTCTAATAAATATCGCTTGTATTGTATTTTAAAAACCATCATCAACTTACTTTTGCATTACTTTTGAAATTTGAATCATCAACTACATCAGTGACTTTTAGACTTTGTTACTAAGACGAGCGTCCATCTGGCCACCTGTCGAATCGTTCCCAAATTGGGCCTTGATGGTTTACTTGGAAAGGGATAATGGACCGTTCCACCATCGAACCTATTAACCCAACAAACTTGAACCAAATTACACTTCCATTATAAGTTATAACTATACTATATAGACAAGAAAATTACGATAACGTTCTGAGGTGTTTGCAGTCTGTACTGTACAATTGAGAATTTTACACAAAAGAATGACATTCCATCCCTGAGAGCCTCCCAAAACCGACTTGACAGTTCTGAGAGGATGCAAGTTGAGTTTTAATCACACTGATGGAAAAAGGGTGGAGTTTCATCCTGAGTCATTGTTTAGAGTTGAAACTGGAACCTCTCCCTTGTGGCACCTTCTTCAATCTTCCCTATCATGTGAGTTACGCCCCCGATTGAAAATTTTACACAAAAGTATACACACATTTAAAAGAATTTGAACATATTTAGTTAGTATTTAGTTATTTGGAAGAAAAGAATCATCTTTGGCTGCTGATGTTAGGCCACGAGGTGTTATCTTTTGGACATATGCTGAGGGAAACCATCCACCTTTGCCATTGCATTCTCCTTCGGACCATCCGTTAGGAGCTACCTATAATCATTAGTTACCAAATAGTAAACTAAAAAATCATTTCAAGGATAAACATGAAACAATTTGTCACATATATGAACAGCAATGCGGTAATACAAACACACCCCAACCCACATTGTGCCGTGATTAATTCCAATTCCCTAAAAGCGCTAACATGAATAATATTATTGCCAGTCATCACCAATAATTAAAATGAATGATTAAACTGTCAATGATTAATACAATATGTCAACTTTTGTTAATTATTACCAAAAAATAAATTGTAGTTAAAAAACTGGAATAATATCTTTCACGGTCCCGCTCGAGAACCATGATTGTTTTTTGAGATTCACTGAAAGACTTGTTTAAAAGTAACATGATTAGTGTACGTATCATACTTTTTGGTTTGTAATAGGACATTTTCATGTAACTTTTATTTAGAATAAAACCAAAAAATGGCATCAAGGAACCATTCTGAGAGGAGCCAAGAGGTCACAAACTTTGAAATCTAGCAATAATTTTCAATCCGTATCATAACAATCGAAATCAAGTTAGTCTCCATTTCAATTATCACTGATATAAGTACTGTTGAATTAACAAATTACTAATAACTTAGAAAGAGAGTCTAAAGCCCAAAGGAATATAATTTTATTTTCTATATATAATTAATTATATAATGTGTACATAGTTAGCAGTACCACATACCTGACGGACTACTACATAATCATCAACTTCAAGACTTAGCTCGCCGTCTGCTTCAGCATCAAATGAGTGCAAGACCTTTGCAAATTGTGGATGGGCAGTAGATCCCTTTGAAGCTGTCTCTGTTGATGAGTCTTGTTGCAGAGACTCATTTAGTTCTTCGTCTGTAATCATCTAACTCCAGCAATATAAAAGTTTCATTTAGTACTAGACTAAAAGAGATCTGAAGGGTATATTTGCAAGCAAGTATTGGGGCAAATTAATGTACGCGTACTTCTAAACGTAGCTTCTCCAATAAAGAAATAACACTTCGATGATATGATCTTTCAGCATCCACCTGCCAGCTGAAACCAAAATAAGATACATACAATAATGACACAATAGGATGCAAATAATTTTGTCATAAATTGATAAACAGACCTCTAATGGCTTCTTGGCATCAAATGTAATAGGAAAAAGTGAAACCAAAGCGGGAGAGCAACCAGTAAGTTTACTATGTTTTACTTTGTTGGTTTCATAAATGGACAATTATTTGTGAACAATTACTTGTTGTCACACACTTATTTGACAACGGAGAGTGTCTTGCTAAACAATGGCACACTTTCTTAGTATTATTAAAAACCAATTAAATACATAATGAAAAAAACACTGCATAGAGTACACTAATGAACAGGTTGCTGCCTTGCTAATTTAGTAACCAAATTACATTTACAAAACAATAATTACTTGTTAACTACTACCAAATTACCATTTCAGTTGGACACACTAGAGATGTCAGATGTTACACTACATATTTTTTGCTTGGTTCAAATCCCTAAATTAAATTGTTTAACACTGTTGATGTATCCAGATCTATACCGAAGAGACATCATTAATCCAGGAAATAGTTTTTATGTTATTTAGAGCCTGTTTGGCGGCCCTATTTTTCGGCTTATCGGCTTTAACAACCAACTTTTTCACCAAACATGTAACTTTTTATTTCGCACGTTGAGTTGTGTAATAATCAAAAAAAGTAAGATTGGAGTTACTTTTCTGGCTGGATTGGCTGAAGTTACTGCAGCGCACCATTTTAGCTATTTTTCATACAATATTTTCTTTATTTTTTTTGGGAATATAACTTTAAATAATATCAACTATCTTGCATGAACCAGGGATAATACATACTTTAGAAATAACTTTTAATAACCAGCTATCTAAATGTAAACCAAAAATAAAATAGAGTCACATTTCTACAAGAAATTCAGCCATTTAAGACACCAACAAATAATATCGAATCATCAAATAATTGATATTTGAAAAAATAGGTCACTTATTTGATATTTTGATATTAGTTTTTTATGAGTTAAATAACTGATTTTTTAGTGATATATTCATATAGTTAATATTATTAAAAGGTATCTCTAAAGTTCGTATTATTCTTGATTCATGGAAGATAATTGGTATTATTTTAAGTTATTTTCCCTTATTTTATTAATAAAATGCATTTCAAATGTTACCAAATGGGCTCTTAGGTCATTATGAGCCTTTTATGTGTATGTTCAGTTTGTAATTAATATTGTCAATAGTGGCTGTTCAGTTTATATGTAATTAAATGAGGAAAGGTACAAATATACCCTTGAAGTATACGTGCAGGTGTAGATATAAACCTGTAGTTCTAAAAGGTGAAAGGGCATCCCTAATACTTCTATAAAGGAACAATTAGCCCGTGCTGATTTTAAATAAGTAAAAAAGATTAAAAACACTAAAAATCAAAATATATTGGATGCAGAAAATGAAAATAATTAAAATGAAAAACTCAGTTTTCTTAAAAAATAGAATAACCTATATGAAAATATAAAAAAATTAATTTTTTTAAAGTATTAATTTCGTTATTAAACTGAATAAAAAGAAAGAATTATTGTATGTTAAAACATTAATGCTTTGATTTTAGAAAAAAATGGCACAAATATTACCTTTCAGTTTTTATTGGACAAAATATGAAGCAGCAGAACGCAAGGCAACGAACGCCAGAGCAGCACTCGACACAAGACATGAAGCTCCAACAACAAAGCCTCTAGCAGATCCTCACATCCTCATCCGTTAGGCTTATTGTCTCCACCGCCACTGCTCTCCCGCCGCAGCCGCTCTTTTCTTCTTCTCATTTCTTGCTGCAGCCGCTACCCGTCGTCCTCGTTGCTTGATGGCCGCGCCTCTCTGGCTGATGGTCGATGGTTGCGCCTCTGCTGGCCGATGGTCAATGGTCGCGCCTTTGCTAGCTTGTCTGTCGTCCTAGATGGCCGCCAGTGTTGGATTTGCCGCTTGGATGGAGGTTGACTGCGATTTAGAGCCGCTAGTACCGGATCTGCCGTCGTTGATGGACGACGACTGCGATTTATGACCTCCGGTGCCAGATCTATCATCTCGGTGGATGGCGACTCTGATTTTGGGACCGCCGCTGCTGGTGGCGGTGTGACGAGGGTTCCAGATTTGTTTAATTCCCGGCGGCTAGGGTGTAGGTGCTGGTTTTCAGATTTGGTCGACGGAGGCAATGGTGTGGCTAGGTTTCGCCTAGACAAAGGTAGGCAAAGGTGGTTCAGTGGCAGGGGCGGGAGACGAGTTGCTGATTCTTGGGCAGTAATTGTGCAAGGGTGTGGTGTGGTGGGACTGGGGTGCGGTGGCCGGTCGGAGTGGTAGCGGTGGGGCCGGGGGTAGTTCAGTGACAGGGGCGAGAGGAGGGGGTAGAGTCTTGCATACTTGTCCATTAAAACATATATTTTTTGCCTAGGCGACGAGTCGTGCCATATGTAATATTTAAATATACATATAATAAAATAATATATTACAGATTATTTTAAAAAAACATATATGAAATAATAGATTATGTTTCTAGAAAAAATGTCCAGTATAAAGTTTTACAAAGAAAATAACAAAAATACGTACCAGTAGTGGATGATATGCAATAGTATGGGCGGTATAGCAGACACTTAGTAACAAAGATTGGATTTGGTTAATGGATTCTAGGTGGACATGAAATAAATGAAAGAGTAGAAGTTTACTGTACAAAAATAGTGCACATAAAAAATAGAAAATTGTGTAATACATTAAAAAAAAATATGGAGTCCAGTTGTCTGCCTAACCAAACAAAATCCAAAAAAAGTAAGACCAGCTTGGGTTAATCTTAAAACTCAACATCTTCTCTAACCTAATATTCTGGGTTGAAGCGGCAAAACAGGAGTTGGGCGTCTCCATGGCGCCTAGTCGACGCCAAGTTACGCCTAGTCGACGCCGGTTACGCCTTGGCAGCTCCAGGCAAGTCGAGTAACCATGGCGCCCCTTCCCCAACGCCAGGACAACTAGTCGACGCCTAGGTGACGCCGTAACAACTATGGAGTCTTGGGCAGCGACTGTGCAGGGCTGGGTGTGGTGGGGCTGGGGTTTGGGCTGGGGTGCAGTGGCCATCCGGAGTGGTCACGGCTAGGGCGGAGGTGGTTCAGTGGCAGGGGCGGGAGGCAAGGGTAGAGTCTTAGGGCAGCATTTGTGCAGGGCTGCGGCGGGGTGTGGTGGGCTGGGGTTGGGGTGCGGTGGCTGGCCAGAGTGGACTGTTTGAGGTGGTTCAATGGCAGGGGCTGACAGCGGCAGTCCACTGGCCGGAGCGGCAGAAGTCACTGGCCGGGGGGGCATTCGCTGACCGGGGGCGGCAGTCACTAGTCAGGGGCAGCGGTAGTCATTGACCGATGGCAACGGCAGTCACTGGCTGGGGTGATGGCAGTCACTGATCAGGGCGACGGCGGAAGTCACTGCACGGGTGGTCTAATTCCAGTCACTAAAATTGCAAGTCACTGCGTAGTCATAGTTTTGGGATTTTGTTTATGCAGTCACTTTTTTGTCTTAAAGCCTTTATTTAGTTATATTCATAAGATAAGGCCTTGATTTTAAAATGCAAAATTAATATTTTTCCCTTGTAGAGAAACACTTCAAATTCAGAAATATTAATTCTAGTCTCGTTGCCAATGTTTGAGCACATTGTTACATTTTTTAAAATGCCATTCTTTGGTGTTGTTTTATTATAAAATAAAATGTAATCTTGGATTATTTAATTATCATCATACAAAATGTGTTAAATAAATTTTATAGTGCGGTTATTTTCCATCATTCCCTCAAATTGAAGGAAAGTTTAAGGTTTGGTCAATCCCCTGATTTTCATAATTTCTTTGGTACCTTATATAATTAAATGAGAAAGAATACTTCAGCTAAGAATGCAGTTAAAAATTAATGATTTTTTAATTGCAATACATATGTTAATAATGTTTTTATGCTAACAATACTAAATTGTCATATAAAAATAAAAAGAGGGAGGATTGGGCAAAAAATAGATGTTTTTTAAAATTTTAATTTTTTATTTTGATATTCAATATAAAATTTATTTTTGGTATTTTTTTAAATTTAAAAAGGCCTAATTTGTCCCTTTATAGGAACATAAGGGGTATCCTTGCACCTTTTAGAACTTCAAGGGTATATCTGCACCTATAGATATAGTTTAAGGGTGTATTTGTACTTCAAGGGTATATCTGGAAAGCCACCTCGAGTTTCTGGGCAAACACTTCCTAGATGCCTCTCCCCTTAGAACTAATTACCTATAAATATAGAGTTCTACTTCTCGTTTTCATATATGTTCTATCAATAAGAAATCACAGCAAACTTTATGGTATCAGAGTTTAAGCTTACTCATCTAAGCCTCTTCTCTGTCCATCACCTCTCCAACAGTCAGTTTGGGTGTCTCTACCCCTCTCTTTTTAACTCCTGGTGTGAGCCTCTTCACCAAGGGTTCTATCATGTCTAGCGAAGCTGATTCAACCTCAAGTTACCTTGATCACTCAACTGTTGTCTCAGCCGCTGCTGAGGCTGCTCTTCGACAATAAACATTTGATCTTCATCCTATCCAGGCATCTTACCATTTCAATGGTGAGTCAATAGTAGGAACTATCTTGGATGGTCAGTGCTGGTCTCCACTCACCTCCGTGGCAAGGATCGTGAAATTTATCTTACTACTCCTATACCAGGAGATACTGATGTCGGTAGTGGGGAGAAAACCAATGCCAACATATGGGTTTGGTTATGAGACTATATAGATCTCAACATCAACTATACATGTTTCTACATGGACTCCACTAAAGAAAACTGGGATTTCATTGAGCAGTCCGACTCCGCTGCGAAAGACGATGCTTTTGTCAATGACTTATGGCTCCAAATGACGAGTCATAAGCAAGATTCACAATCTGTCACCAAATATGCTACTGAACTCCAGCGATGATGGTCTTAACTTGATCAGTATCAAACTATGAAGTGGTTTATTGTTGCTGATGCA